AGGATTAACTCCCACCGAATGAGGTGGTGTAGGATTCTTAATGTAATGACAGTACTATCAATTAGTAAATAAAGTCTTGCATTTTATGCTTATTTGCAGTAAAAAAAAAAAAAATATTATTATAAAAATTAACTTCAATAATTTTAATTTGAAAATAGATTTCTAGATTAAAAATAAAGATATAATTCAAATGTTTTTTTATTGTTAAAAAAATTTTTTTTTTACAAAAATTAACATCAATAATTTTAATTTGAAAATAGATTTCTAAATTAAAAATAAAGATATAATTCAAATATCTTTTATTGTTAAAAAAATTTTTTTTACAAAAATTTTTTATAATTTAAGTCACTTTATTCAAGTATTTTTTAAATTAAAATAATAAATAAACAATTATATTTTTTTTAAAAAAATATATAATTGATTTACAAAATTTTATATGTTAAATAATTTCAAGATTTATTCTTATTTTAATTATAGTTAAAATTGTAATTGTTAAGATTGAATAAATATTTGTTATTTTTTTTGAAAGCAATACAATTATTAAATTTTTTTAGTTTTGTAAAATGGTTTTGCTAATAAAAATATTATTATAAAGTTATAAAAACACTTGTTTAAAGCTTTTTTCCAACAAATTAATTATTTTATGTTATTTTTAAGTTATTTGATATTTTTATTTGCAAATAGATTTTTAAGTATTTTAACAAGTTTATTAAGAATAATTAAGTTTAGAATTCTGTTATAAAATTTTTTCTTTGATTTATTTGATAGATTAATACTTTAAAGTTTAATAAAAATCTATTAGATCAATGTTATTTTTTATAATGGATTTGAAATATTTAATTATAATAGTTTTAATTTCATTTGAATTGTTTATAAAATTGTCTTTATTGTATTAAATAAAATTAAAATCTAATGATAATTTTAAATTTTTCAATATTAAAGCTTTTTAACTTTTTTTAAAATTTGATATAATTGTTAATAATATTTTTGTGAATTTGTTTTATAAATTTTTTTTAATATCTTTAAGTCTTTTTTTAATATAATATATTATTTATTTAATTAAGTATTTTGATAATTATTTGATTTAAATTAAACAAAATAAACTTTTTTTTTAATATTGTTTTTTTTTTTTATTTTTTTTTAAATATTGTTTATTATTTTGTTATGATACTTTTAGAATTATTAATTTAATAAATATTAGATTATTTCTGATTATATTTATAATAATATAATTAAATAAATTTATAAATAATATTCAAATATATGTAAAAGTCTTAATAAAATTATTAGTGATTTCAAAAAACAGTGAACTTAAATAATTATTATTTTAATGCCAACACAGTTGGGATTTTATTAAGGTCAAAAAAGCATTTTTTTATGCATGTTGACTTTATATAACATAAAAATACATAAATAAATAAATATAAAAAAATATATATTTATATAAAGCTTAATCTTTTGAGATAAACATATTTAATTAATATAAAGAAAATATAAAAAAAAATAAAAGAAAAGAAAATAATATAAACAATATGCATACTCTATGGTCTTATGCTTCTAATTTAATTACATTAGCTTATAATGGTGTCTTGATAGTATAACATATCATTAAGAATTAGAATTGCATTATATATATATCTAACAATTATCTGAAAACCTGTCTTAGACTTGTAAATTATCAGGGGTGAATCAGATATCTTTCAGGACATTCAGATTACCTGGTACAGTATGGATTTCATGGTGCAGTTATAAAGTTATTTTTTTGTTTTACAACAGCTTTTTTTCAATTGAAAGTTTTGTTTAATAGTTTAATAATTTTATTTTATATTTAAATTAATTAAAAATAACTTGAATTTGTTTATAGTTTATAATGACTAATATAGATTTAAAATTTTTATATTCAAAAGATTAATTTTTAAGTAATTTATATATCAGATTTGATTAATTTATAAGGTATTGGTTTAAATTATATAAATAAAATTGGTTTTTTTATTAAATGATTTATAATATCTATTCAGTTAAACAAATAATAGTAGATTCTTTTTTTGCTATAAGATTTTTAAGTTTATACTTGTTAATAAACAAAAAAAAAACTATATTTTAAACTATATAAATTTTTAAAAATCAAGTTTTATAACAATATATAGTTTAAAAATAAGTTTAAATTGTTATTTATCTGATATAAATTATTAAAATAACTTTAAAACTTTAATTTTAATCAAACCAGAATTATTATTAAAATTATTTAAAAAATTTAATAATATATTATATTCTGTAAACCATTTGATTATAATATAATATTTATATTATATTATTGTATTCTCGTTTATAAAAAATTTATAAACAACTTTAGCTTGCAATTTGATTAAAAATAAGTAAACAAGTAAATATTATATAAATTTTTGAATCAAGTTTATTTATTAATAATAAAAGAATAATATATTATTTACTTATAGAATAAAAACAAATTTTTTTTTAATCTATAATATACTATAGATTATTTATAATATTATTTAAAAAGGCTTTTTAAACTTTATTATAGAAATCTAAAATAATAAACAGGTTATTTAATATTTTTAAAAGACAAGCAAAAATTAACTTTATTTAATAATATAATTTTTTGAATTGGCATAAGGATTAATAAATATTAAATAGTTAATGGTTTTTATAAATTTTATAAATACAAATTTTATAAATGCATTTGAATTATCAATAAATAGAAATAAACAACATCTATGATAAATTTAATAATTTTTTTATTGAATTTTATATTTTATTAAAAAAATGATGTAAAACAAAACGTTATGAAATTATTTTATAATCTATCATTATGATTTATCAAATAATTATTTTTTTAAAAAAAATTTATATTATTATTTAATAATTTTGTATACAGTATATTGTTTTTTGTTTATGTTAAATAATCTTATATCAATAATATAACAAATTAAATAAAATTGTTGGGATGTTTGATATAATATTCTTTATTTATTAAGTCACAATTTGTACAATTTAAATTTTTACTTACTACTATAGAGTAGAGATTTTTGCACGCACGCACGCACGTGCTGCTCTTACACGTCGCAGCATTTATTTATTCTATTACAAATGTGTCACACCTAGAGCTGCGCAAATTAACAAAAAAAAAGAAAACAAGGGTAAACCATAAAAGGTGTTTATGTAAACATTATACTGTAAAAAGTAAAAAGCCAACTTTTTTTGCAATGCCCTATCGATAAATAGTAGGTCGTGATGCTTTCTAAGCAAAAAAAGAAGGATAATTAGAATGTTTGAAAAGAAAAAAAAAAAAAGAATGCATTGTTTTTTTTTGGTATGACGAGAAGCATGATTATCATATTCAGTCCTTAGTTTTCTAACTTTATTTAGAATTTTAAAAATAAATCAATTCATTTTTTCTTTCCACTGGTCAGTCAACAAATCGACTGCAACTCGAAAATTAATGGTCGTATTGTACAAAAAGATGAATCGGATTTTCATATAAGAGATATCAGATTCAGATTACCTTTTTAATACAGTACCGGATATACGCACTTGATCGGATTAACACACAAACATGTTTATTACGTATAATTCATTGGAATAATTTCATATAGTGTGAGTCGCATGCCAGTAACGGTTCAATTATCACAGCCCACGGCTAAACTATATTTCTGAGCATTACTTATATCAGGGTAGTGGGTCTTAATGCCACGTAGTACTGTAATGGATGTTTTTTGTAGCCGGCTTAGCCGACATCCCAATTGCACTACTCTCTATCATACACATTTAAATCAGGTAAGTTGAATAGAAAATTACTAACATTACATACAAATATCATAATACATACGCGTTTTTATCTCGTTTCATATGCATCACAGGAAAAGCGTTACTGTTAAATTCTTTTCAAGGTCAACATTTACGGCAGAACTGGTTGATTCTGTTACGTAACTGCATATGGCCAAAAATAGCTTGATATGACACCTTCCATTTGTTATTGTAATCCGGAGTCTAATTGACGCCTAAAGGAAATTTCATTACAACAATTAAATGTGTGACAAGTATTAATAGTAATGATATTTGAACACAATCTATATAAATTCATCTACTCGGCCTAACTTTGGGCACACGTAGCATTTCAAAAAACAATGTATCTCAAATTCTATCTTCCACTGACCCTAAGCCAAGTGCAAACCGTTCTAGCGTTTATCCTGAGTATCTTGAGTATAGGATGGATTTTTTTCCTGTCGGCCATCATAAGATATTATACATTACGACGAATTAAGAGAAGTGACTCGGTACCAGTAATGGAGGCCGTATTGCCGCTCAACTTAGTTGATGTTTATAATATACTGCGTTCAAAGAGAACAAAATTAACAGTGACCATTTGCTTACTGGTGTTGTGTGGTTTGGCACTCACAAATTTCGATGGCATTATTGTTGTAAACACCATAGGCTTTGTTGAGACATGTAGAACGGCTGTTGTTAAAACTAGTGCTCAAATTACCACCGAAAATTTTCAAGTAGCGGTGGCTTCGTATGCTGAAACAGATGCAATCTTACAAAAAAGAAACAAAAGTGGTGTCCCGAGTGGAGTCCTTGTGGGGCAACTGCCAAAAGATTCTCGTTGGAAATTTGACTCGAGTTTTGATGTTGATCCTTATCCGTGGAGAAGTTCATGTTCAGTTTACGCGTCCGGAGAAACCAATGTAAACTTGAACACTTCAATATTGTCTGATCTAACTTATAAAAATGGTTCGTTGGAACAATTTTTACCAGAGGTACACTCTCAATACGGATTTCGTAACGGCTCAGATGGATACAATTTCAATGGAAATAGTTTTAAATCTTATGTACACTTTAATCGCAGTAACGGCGACACCAATTCCACCGCAACGGGGAGCCTAATATTAATGATAGAACGGTTCATACGGGGAAATGTGAGTGAAGTTGGAGCTGGCGTTATTGACAGGTTGTGGACGCTTAGGGTACCTGAGGAAAACAGAATGCCTTATAATCGAAATAATCTGTCGCAATCTGAAATTGTATCAGTGCCCATTGTCGTTAAGGCATATGCGTGTGAGGTGACACGTGTTAAAGAAGGTAGTCAGGGCGGTGTCAACGTATTAGGAGATATCTCAGTAGCTTTAAGTACATCAGGTGATCTCGTGGGTAGACAATATTTGGTCGCACAAATAAAAGGTACTGACGACACGATATTGGAATATACACCAGAGTACTGGGCGTCGTACATAGAGGTGAGAGATACAATGGTGGCAAAAGATTCCGAGGTATCCGCACGAATATACCTCCCATGCTTTACCGTCGACATTATATATATCATATTAGTAGGCACTTATTTCATACTTTTTCTCGTGGGGACAGCATTCTGGTTGAGGTTTAAGATGGATGACATCAATGTTCCAGGAAGCGTTGTTAGTTGGGCAGTTCTTGCATGTGGAGATGAATTTGATTCAATCAACACGGCCGAGTTCAAATATATTAATAAGAACACTACCGAGTAAAAATTGCATATCTTTTATTTGCTTTTACTGTATATTCTATTTATTAGAGAATTATGTATTTATTCAAAGATGTACATTCAATTATTATTAAAACCATACAATATTTACAAAAATTAGAACATGATAACCAAAGATTTCAATGTTTCTGAGGAATGTTGAAGTGATTATTTATGCATTATGTGTAAGTGAAACTCCGAATATGATTTTATAAACTTATGTATATACTGTATGTCGAAATATAAATGACATATTTTGTATGATTAGAATAAAAAAATAAGATGTGCGTAAAAATACAAATTTGTCATAAAATTATATACAGTACGTGTTAAAAATATTATAAATTTTTTCATAAATAAATACGTATCAACTATAATTCAATATATTAGAAAATTTCAATAAACATTCGAATATATTATAGGATCTATTTTTATCAAAATATTGTTGATTAATTATATTAAAAATCAGTATCGAATAGAAATTATCTATAAAATATTTTTATTAATACGATAAATTAAAAAACCATGTAAAAAATTATTTTTTAAAGTTTTATTAATCTATATTTGATTTATTGATATATTAAAATAATTCATTATTATTGTTATTAAAATTTTTTAAAAACACCATTAACTTTAGTTATATTCATCATAATTCATCGTAATTTATTATGACTTTATATTTTTACATATATTTTCTATATAATATATTATTATTTTTTTCATGAATTCTTAAAACACCTGTATAATTTCAAACATAACTCTAAATCCAGATTGTAAAGTTTTTTTATTATTCTATTCCATGTAACTATTTGCAAAAACTTAAAAAAAACATTTTTTCTTTAGAATCTAAAAGCAATTAATATAATAATATTTTAAGTAATTTTACATTTTTTTTTACAAATAAAAAAATTTTTTTGGTAATTATTCAAGTATAATGAAAATATTTTTTAACTTATTCTTTATATAATATATAATTAATTAAAGTAAAAATAATTTATAATTAATTAAAATATTATAAATAAGTTATATTTTTCCTCAATATTGAAAAAAAACAATTAAAATTATAATATAAACATATTAAAATTTTTAGAATTTTTTAATAAAATTATTATTTATATTTTTCTTTTGTTTTTTTTTTTGTTTTTCTTTAAAATTCAATTTTTGTATATTGTTATCTTTTGATTTCAATACAAGAACTAAAAATATAAAATCTATTTAAATCAATAATAATATTTAATTTTTTATATTATTTAATTAATATTATTTGAAACAAAACATATATTAAATAAATTAAATTATTAATAATTAAAAATTATGTTTTATTGATAATTTCAAAGTTTATTAAATAAAAATTAAAGATTTCAATTTATTAAATTATGATTTTTAATATTTATTTGACTAGTTTAATTTAATTTAATTTAATTCAATTTTATTTCTTTATTTTATAAAAATATTTTGTTTATTTCAAGTTAAATTAATATAATTCTTATTTGTTTTTCTAAAATAATAATATTATTATTATTTAAAATTAATATTTAAATTAAAAATTTTACTTTATTATTATTTATTAATAATTTAATAATATTTTTTTTTTTTTTTTTTAAGGCACAAGTATGGTGACTGCTTCTTCTTTATTAATAAATTCCTTATACCAATTTTACAGTTGCAGTTAAGGACTCATACAAGTTAGTACATTATATACTCTATGCAGATTATCCCTCACACCTCCTCTTACATCTAGCACCCAGGAACCTATCGCTTAACGATTTCACTATATAATACTAGGCTGGGACCTATGGGGTGTAGAATACCTACCACTAGTTTAAACTACCTAATCCATATGGTCCAGTTTTGCTTAGAGGTGCCTTGATTAGGGAGGTTAGTCCAGGTGCCTCTTCACTTTATCG